TTACAAATGACAGCATTGGGGTCTCCGGGAAGGTAAGGACGGAAGTGTTATGCTTACGGGGTGTTGGGGGGCTAAGGAGTGATGAAGAGGCTACCGTAGTGTTGAGTGGATGCAATTGAAGTCTCCTGAGTGCTACTTGTGGCTGCTGAGACGTGTATTTCCCTTGTCTCGCATACTAGAAGCAGAGCGTACAAGATCTGTTTGAAGCGCTGTCGTGGAAGCGACTGGATAGGAAGACGCTGGTGGACAGGGCCCGATTAATGGTGGCGGAGAAGGAGTTGGAGTTGGTCAAGGCTCGGGCGAAGAACGAAGTGGAGGTAGTCAAGGCTCATGCAGACGCACGCGATGCTTGGGCAGACGCACGCGATGCTTGGGCAGACGCACGCGTGCTTCGGGTAGAAGCTCGGGCGACCAAGGTAGAGCTTGAAAACGCCACTCTTCGACTCAAGGCGAAAAATTTAGAAGTATTGCGGTTGGGACACAGTGTCAACCTCCGCCGCGCCATTGGTAAGTGTATCGAGGGGATGGCTCGAGGGCGTGCTTGTCTATCCGTGGAGCTGTTGTCAGGATGCTTATTGGTCTTGGCATAACACGGCCCTACACGCCTCTCGCAGAGTCTTTCCAGGAAGAAGAGGTTCTGCCTCTTCTAGGCCTGAAGCCCACGAGCAGGGTGACGGTAGGAATGTGGGAGAGGTTCATGCAGGCAAAGCCAGACATCCGGAGGCGTGTGGAGCGGCAGACACCTTGGCGAAAGAGCAAGGTTGCGGCAGAGATGGGTCATATCTATACGACTCTGTCTGGGCGCATCCACTCTTCGCATCAGATTGGCGACGCTGCCGTGGTGATTGGGACGGATGTACTCACGACGGAAGAGTGCCTCGGTGTGGGAGCCCTCCTGTATGACTTTGTGCCCATCGAGTTCCACCCGCCGGAGCTCATGGAGAAGTTTGAGAGAAATGAGGAGGAAGGTACGGCTGAGGACGTTCAGGACAAGGCAGGAAATGGAGAAGGGGAAAGACAGTAGGCCTTGGAGACTATGCCGTTGTACAGAGAGTGGAAGCAATCAGGGGGTAAAAGACTTCATGTGTATGTGTACAAAGAAAAAGTCCTTGTATGTTTCGCATTTCTAGGTCACGCTGGCCTCGTTATTATCGTTGTTGACTCCTAATGCTCCCACACCGTGACGTACAAGCGGTGACTGCACGCATGGGAATGAGCTCTTTAGTTGCATATGGAGGGCAGTGAACACCGCTACTATACGAATGAATGAATTTTAAATCCAAACTATATTCGATTTTCTAACTTCCTATTTCGTTATCTCCCGCTGGGTCCTAGATGCATCCTCTGGGTAGCTGATAGCATCACCTCGGCTCTTGTGCAGGAAATCAAGTGTTATGAGTTTAATCATGTCGCATGCAGCATAAGAATGTCGGGACCAAGTCCTGCTGACATTTCCTCC